AAGGATTGATATGACAATCTCAATTATCATGAAGGATTAGTATTCACATAGAAATGTGAGAACACCGCTTAGGAAAAGGTATGGGTTCAACACTTGACATTGAAGCAACTCGAATACCACAACTCAAAACAAAACAAAGGATTGGCTTGCAAAATAAGCCAGAATCAAAAATATGATAGTTCCCATATCGTATCATGTGTCTATTGGAAAGATATCCTACGATATACTTGAATTCCCACTTATAAACTCCCGAAACTTTCTGGTATGCAATCAGGTGTTGGGGATACAGGGGAAGCATAATATCTCACCCAAACTAACAATTCCTACATGCAGTTGTATCCATCCTTCAACACATAACCAAGAAACATTCGGAAATCATTTACCTCAACCTTTGAAAAGCATCAGTTAGACGAGTTATGGCAATACTCCCGAACTCCCGCCCCAGTACTGGGTGGCGTCGAGGTTATCTCACCAACAACTACATAAAAGAGATTTTCGATGTCGGTGAACTCAGGTATTCCAGAACTGCAACGATAAAATTGTGACGACAACACCTCGGAGCTCAACTCCCCGGGACAATGCCACAACCCCTAAATGTCAGGAGGCACCAAGAACAATGTTCTCATCTCAAAACTATCGGAACGATTCCAAGATACCCGCGTGATCCTAAAAAAATCATGAAATTTGAGGAGAGAAGAGTCAAAACTCTACGTCAGGAGGCCTTACCAGAGCGACGAAGGGACTGAGGAGTAAAAGAATCCTACTCTCCGATATATATAATCCTAAGACTCAAAACATTTTGTTCTAGACTCAACAACGTCAGCAATTCGATCAAGCAGGGGGCTCCTAAGTCGGGGAAGGATCTGATTACCAACTTATAACACCCAACCGCGTAAGGAACGCAAAATCAAGGAACATAACATCGGTATGACGGAAAATAGGGCGGCAAGAGTGGAACAAAACACCAGACGTAAGGCCGAGCCTTCCACCCTTTACCAAGTATATAGGTGCATTAAAGTAAATAAGATATAATAATGATATCCCAACAAATCCATGTCCCAAACATGGAACAAACTGCAACTTCACCTACATCTGCCAACGCTATAAGAGGGGCTGAGCAAAGCGGTAACATAGCCAAACAACGGTTTGCTAGGAAAGGTGGGTTAGAGGCTTGACATGGCAATATGGGAGGCATGATATAGCAAGTGGTAGGTATCGCGGCATAGCAATAGAGCGAACAACTAGCAAGCAAAGATAGAAGTGATTTCAAGGGTATGTTCATCTTGCTGAGATCCCGCAAGGAAGAAGAACGAGTCCATGAAGAAGACAAACGGACGTAGTTGAACGGATCCTCACAAACGCGACATTATCGGAACTAACCCGAAGAAGCAACACCGGAAAGAAGCAAACAACATAGTAAACAACCATCACATAAACATGGCATGATGCACAACCAAGTATGATGCATGTCTGGTTTAATGAGGCATAGCATGGCAAAATGCACAAACAATCCTACAAATTAAGTGGAGCTCAATATGCAATGAGTTGCATATTGACGGAACACCACATTCAAGTTATTTAGTTCGATCTCGTTTATGTACCCAACAATATTAAATGTTGATTAACATGGCAAGAGGTGAAGCATAAGTAAACTAAACATTTAGGCAAGTTTAAATGAGGCCGGAAATAACAAACAACAATTCCAGTAAATCCCCATATGCATTTAGCAATTTGGTGCAACAACAATTTTAAACCTTTAAATGTTATTATCATGATGCGAATGACATGTGCAAGTTTTATGCAATATTTAAGAAAATGTTGACATGATAAGATATGAGGCATTTGTTATCGTGGCGGAAACGAAAGGGGTGCCACGGCAACGACAACGGAAATGGTGCCACAGCAACATTCCGGTTCCGGTAACTCGACGGATCCGAGAGGTACTTGTCGGAATGCACGTCGACGGTAGTGGAACTTGACGCATCGTCGTGTGGAGTCGTACTCGGTGTCACATGTAGTCGAACTTGAGGTGGTCTTGGCGTTTCGGGTCTCGCAGTGTAGTCGAACTTGGTGGCCTTGACGAATCCAAGAGCGCTGGTCGTACTCGGCGTGCAGTCAACGACGATGGTCTTGACGATCCCGTGCCTGTTTTGGTAGGCATCCATCGTCATCTCCAATAGAACTTGGCGGCCTTGGGTCTTGGTGTTGCTTGGGTTGGAGACACACGGCAGTGCTCGCTGTTTATAGGTCGTCGAGGTGCACACAAGCTAGGGTGCCGATGGCCGAAGCAGAGGAGGTCAGCGCACAAACATGGAAGCACAGGGAGGCGGCTTGTCGGTGCGAGGGAAGGCAGCGATGCAGGCGAGGAGGAGTCCCAGCGGTGGAGCTCCATGGGAGGCGCAGGACTTGGGCTCCGGCGGGAGGGTCCCCAGCTACAGGGCGCGGGCGGCGGCCATGGCGCTCGAGAAGGCGCGGGGAGGAGAAGGGGCACCATGGATGGGACCTGTAGAGGGGAGGAGGCACGATGGAGAGGAAAGCTTGGGGCGCCGGCGAGACGGAGATGGCACGGCTACGGGATGGAGCTTCGGCGGCTCTATGGATCGAGGAGGAGGGACGCTGCGGAGATCGGGTGTCGGGTCAACCTTCGATAGCGGCGGAGCTAGGGCTCACCGGAGCAGGGGGCCGCGGGCGCCATGGGGCTCGGGGTCGCGGGGAAGGAACCGCACCGAGAGGCGGCGCTCGGCGGCGGGGCCGACGTTGAGAAGGAGGTTGGTTGCGGGGCAGCAACGAGCCGAAGGACGACGGGGACAAGGGAGCTCCTCTCCCTGGCGTGAGAAGGAAGACGAGTGGAGGGGAAAGGGGGATCGAGCCGTGGCTCTCCCTGGCGGCGCAAGCGAAGGGAAAAGGGAGAGAGCGTGGTGAGGGGTTAGGGTTAGAAGGGAGAGAGTGGGTTGTTGGGCCTAGGAGGCTGCGGGAGGCTTTAGTGGAGGCCGACCTGGGTTGGGTCAGAGAGGCCCAGTTGGGTTGGCTTTCTCTTCTTCCCTTCTCTTATTTTTTAAGCAGAAAAGAATTCAAGAGAAGAAAAAGAAAGAGGAGGGTAGGGGAAGAAGTTGGACGCACGGATAAATTCCCCGGACTCACAAAAATGAGCTTGTCTCAAAAAAATAGATATGGCATGATTGAAAGATATAAATTCAAACTCATTTGAATTTAATTCAAATGGGTTTGAACTGCGACTTGGTAAAAGGAAGGTCCATAAATGTTCGGATTTTTGGAGGAACCCCGGTAAAAGGGAAAAGAATTATTGGGCAAGGCTTTGACGTCCCACTAGAAGTAGAAAAGGCATGGGGAATATTGCAAGTGTGTTATGGTTAAATTCCCACTAATGGAATATTTAATATAGCTCCCTAATATCGAAAGGATATGTTATAAAGAGAATCACCATGTGAATTCCCTCGGTTTAAATGGACCAAAGATCCATGCAATTTATTTAATTGAGTTTTAAAACGGGTTGCATGATGACATGATGCAATGCATATGATGCAAAAAGAAAGCAACGGACCAAACAAATCACACGACGAATCTCGGAAACCATGGAATGCGTCTGAAGATTCGGTCTTGGGGAGTCACATTTTGAACCGGGTGAAAAAGTTGTGGAAAACATACCCCGATAACTTCTATCTAAATAGCATGGTAATATACACACCTTGGTGCGGTAACTCACGCAAAAACACCGTGGTAACTTTGATCAAGAGAAAAAGTAGTTGTAGATATCATACTCCCGATAGTTTCCATGGAAATAGCATGTTAATATACTCATTGCAGACATGGTAACTTGCGCACAAACATCATGGTAACTTTTACCATGAGAGTTTTTTGTTTGAAACCATACCCTTGGTAAATTTTGTGGAAAAAAACATGGTAATATATGCACCATAGACATGATAACTCAAGTACAAACAACATGCTAACTTTTTAACCCGATGGAAAAGGTTGTTAAAAATATGCACATGTAACTTTTGTGTAAATATGATAATATACGAACCGCAGACCTGACTTACACATAAACACCGCGGTAACTTTGACCCCATGGGGAGGAGAAGTTGTTTGAAACATGTCATCGATAACTTACGTATAAACAGCGTGGTAATGTACGGATGACAAGTGTGGTAACTCATACACAAACACCGCGGTAACTTTGTCCTGAGAAAAATTATTAAGAACGTATCACGATAAATCATGTGTAAATATCATGATAATATACAAACATGAGAGCTCATAACTTTTTTGGCCTAGGCCTGATAACTTTTAGCAAACAAAAAAGTCATCATAACATATCAACATGTGATTTGGTTTTGTAGGTCTCGTCACAGTGGTTTTTTTATGTAAAAACGATTTTTTGATTAGACCAACAGTTTGAAGACATTTTAAAGTTTTGAAATATGTACAATTCAGGATGCATCCGTTTTTTTGCCTTCTAATGCATGCCTCCATATGCATGTGAAGGGAAGATTACAAGACCTATATTTTATGTCCTGATAATTTATGTGTAAACAATATGATAAGTTATACACAACCGACATGATAACTTGTGTAGCACACAGCATGGTAACTTTGTACTAAAAAAAATCGTCGGAGCATATTAAAATGAGATCTAGTTTTAAACGTTAGCACAGTCCTTTAGAGAATTATTTTTACAGGTTGATTAAACGGACCTGTTGGGCCGCAAGCTAAAATCGGCCTTAAAACACGTTTTTCTCGGCCCGGACTGCACCATGTAACGGTCGAAACACTGTAGTTCAGTTTCGCGAGGGTGAGGAGAGTTGGCGGGGAACGGATTGGCTTCGGCCAGATGCTTGTAATTTGGAATAGCAGCAAACCCTAGTTCGTAAGAGGAGATCGAGAGAGTGGCTCTCACACACAGCGTCTCGTCTTATCCTCCTCCTCCTCGTCTTCGGCGAGCTCAGGCCTTCCCCACCGAGTTCACCGCATCCGCTTCAATGTCAAGCCGGCCCGCCCGCCGCCGCTCGTCGGCGTCGGCCACGGCGGAGACCGCCGGCGCTAGGGCTGCCAAGGCAGCGTCGCTGGAAAACAAGCGGGCCGCCCTGGGAAATCTCACCAACGTTGCCGGCGGGAGGACCGGCGGGGCCGATGCGGTATGGCTCGTTGCGAGATCAGGGTTGTTCCTTTCGCGGCGGCAATTGCTTTTGCTTGGATTCTCGTTGGTTACAAGGGGACGGCATGTTGAGACGTATCCTAGATGTGATACATACCGTACTTGTTGAGCAGATTTATTGGATAATAATCTGCTATGGCATTTCGCGGGTTGCCCTCTTCTTGATCAATTTGATGCATAATTTATAAGATTTCCCGGTATTTATTACTGGCCCCTGTACAATTCCTCCCCTGTCTCCGTCAATTCCACGACAAGTACTCGATTATTTTATGTTTTTAACGAAATTTTCTGTGCCGTATAGTGTAATGTCTTTTGCTTGTTCCACCGGCCCCGATTGAACATTTCCTTGCACATATTTGTTTCATCTGCTTTTCTAATCTTGTAAGTTAGGGTTTTCAAATGTTTCGGTGTGCCAAATGTTCCGAAATGTAGTAGATCGCTGTTGTGCCAAATGTGCCAAATGTTTCAAATGTTTCCATTAGGCCCATTACGTACTCTAACAATCGCACTGGCTATCAGCCTATGTTTTCGTTATTATCTTCTGATTGCTTCTGAATCTTCCATTGGTGATTCGTTATGTATTACCTGTCTCGTGATTGTTCTCTTTGGTTGTGCTGTTTCACTGAGTCTGTTCTTATTGCAGAAATCGAGTTCATCCAACTCAGTAGCCTATGTGAAGAAGGGGAGTTCTGCTGGCCTTCCCAACGTGAATAGGAAAGTGGCTTCTGCCACAAAACCAACTTTAGACCGGTTTGAGCGAGCAATATCGCACCATGGCAATGCCCTTCAGAAGGAGAACGTTTGTTGCCCATCTGTGCCTACGTTGGCACCCCATGGCAGTTGGCCCGGCCTGTCTCATGATTCTGTTTCTATGGAGGACGATATGCTAACATGCAATTCAGTGGAAAGCCCTGGTCCTCTATTCCTTGACAATGCAGCTTCTTCAGTGGCAACTTCCTTGCGCCGTTGTGCGAATGATAAACTTCCTGTATCTGACAATAGGGATACCACAGGTTTGTTTGCCTGTCACAGTAATCCTGGTTAGGTTTCTAATCTGTTGTGTTGTATAATTATTTATTTTTGTTCTTTCTTTACTGTTACAGTATCTAGATGGAGAAAACATTGTCCTACCCCAATCGAAAATGACGATATCTTTGAGATTGAAACGCACTGCAAGGATCCAGAATTGTGTTCAACTCTTACTTGTGACATTTACAAGCACTTGCGTGAAGCTGAGGTGATTGATTCTTGTTCATATGGAACTCCTAATGTTTGCATACTTTGTGCAACAATTAATTTCTGCAGTGTGCACACACCTGCAAAGTAAATGCATATTGTTATCTACACAAGATGTCACTTCGTTGTGTGTAGAAGGGATGCATCAATTGGGAGCTAGGAATAGAAGAATTTTGCTTCTAATTCACAAATCCAATAGCACACATAGCTTTTCAATATTGTCGTCTTTGAACAAGAAATACAGTCTGTTGATAGATGTCTTGTTTCTCATTCACTCACATCTCTATGGAACAATGCATTGCTCCATCATCCGTGTTGTCCATGTCTTTGCTTTCTTCCTAAAGCAGTTGCAGACCGCCTGTCTATATCTATCCCTACTATAATGTTATATTTGTCTTTTAGCAGACCAAGAAAAGGCCTTCACCAGATTTTCTGGAAACCACACAGAAGGATATTGACGCAAGCATGAGGGCAGTACTTATAGACTGGCTTGTGGAAGTGAGCATTTCTAGAAAAAAGGTTTCAGAAGCTAAACACACAAAAATGTTTCTTCTAATCGGTTACCTTTTTGCCCTACTCAATTCAGGTCACAGAAGAATATCGTCTTGTTCCTGAAACCTTATACCTCACAGTCAGTTATATTGATCGGTATCTTTCTAGCAAAGAGATCAATCGAGATAAGCTGCAGTTACTTGGTGTCGCCTGCTTGCTTATAGCCGCGTAAGATCCATCGAGTTAAATTTGTCTCTTCTGTTGTATTAAGTTCTTTTTTTTTCTTGTTTCTGTTCTGATATGCTTTATATTCAAATTTCAGTAAGTATGAAGAGATATGTCCACCCCAAGTAGAAGAGCTCTGCTATATTACCGACAATACATACATAAAGGATGAGGTCTATGGCCCTGCCGATTGACTTTCCTCTACATATTTTTTTATGATCTTGTTTTGTTTCGTAACACACAGATAACACAGGTTCTGCGAATGGAAGCTTCTATCCTGGGTTGCTTGAAGTTTGAGATGACTGCACCTACAGGAAAATGTTTTTTGAGGTAGCATTCTCTGTTATTGTGATATTTATACACATAAGCATAATTACTGACACTGAATATATTATTATTTCTGACAATAGGAGATTTCTGCATGCTGCTCAAGTATGTCATGAGGTAATTGCTTCTCTTCAATTATTTACAGTTACAGTCAGTCCTGTGTGCAATGTGGTCTTCCAGCTTACTCAACCTATTCTCCTGCAGGGCCCAGCTTTGCATCTTGAGTTCCTAGCTAGCTACATTACTGAGTTGTCACTTCTGGAGTACAGCTTACTTTGCCATGTACCTTCACTGATAGCTGCCTCTTCAATTTTCTTGGCGAATTTTATCCTTAAGCCAACAAAGAATCCTTGGGTATATATGCTTTCAACCTTCTAGGTTCTTGTGGATTTTATTTGTTAAGCCTTTTTTTCCCTCAAGGGCTGCACATGTAACATTCATATCTCTTTGAAACTGAAGCAGAATACCACTCTTTCCTATCACACACAATACAAACCATCCACATTACGCGATTGTGTAAAGGTACTACACCGGCTTTTCTGTTTTGGCCTTGGAAGCAACCTCCCTGCAATTAGAGAAAAGTACAGCCAACACAAGGTGAGAGAGTGCCGTCAACAGTAATTTGGAAGCATTTAATTCCCTTTCTACTTTGATGCTAACTGCTATTGGCCTTCTCCATATGTTCCCCTAGTACAAATTTGTAGCGAAGAAGTACTGCCCGCCGTCGATTCCAGCCGACTTCTTCCAAGATGCTAGCAGTTAGAACTTGGAACACCAGATCAGGTTCGGTTACTCATTCAAGTCTTCCGGTGGCTGGTGGCCCGAAGTTGCTAGGCTGATTTGTACAGATTGCTGTGCATGCAGGACATACAGACACCATTGTTGTTAGTTGATTGGTGGTATATTTGTACATTGTTGGCAAAACCTGTGCAGCTATGTTTATTTGATTGGAAGGAGGCAATGCTCGTGATGCTGTCTGTAGTTTCTCCCCCACATTTAAATGCTTAGCTGCTGCAATCTGTTTCTTGGGTATGTAGTGTACGTTATAGTCCAATCATATCTCGTCACACCTTGCTTGTTCGATATGTTTCTTGGAGTGTGACGTCAAAAGAAAGATGAATGTGTTGACTATAGGCAGTTGCCTAAGAACCGCATTCTAGCGGTGGTTATTCTAAACAAAATATTTTCATCCCGGTTGACACAACAGTCTGAATGCAAGAAAAGAAAAGTCTGAATCATATTTTTTGTAAGACAGCAACTTGTATATCATCTATCCATTCTATTGTTTTATTTTTATTTTGTTGTTTGGCATGTCCCCTTTTCAAACATGCCAAAATGTACATATTTCTCCCTTGATGAAAGGGCAGCGCTCCTGACGGTTGCTCAATTTGTTTTTACTATTGTTTATAAATCTTGTTGTAATTTCTCTTCTAATTATCGTGTTCCTATAACTGGTCTCACTCACAAAAAATAGTATGGGAGTCGTCTTAGGGGGAACTTCCTGAATGACCTTACCGAGGATTTTTTTCTCAAATGATAACATCCACACGTTTGGCATATTTGCACATCGCTCACACACCTTGATCCACCTTGATTCTGTTTTGCACGAATCCTAAAGAAATTTGAGTGCCACGTAGGCATAGTGTGTTGTGTGGGCGTTAGAGCGCTCGCCCACATAACCCGCAACGCGCGTTTGCCAGCTGCGCCGTGTGCGCGAACCAGTTCCTGCCCACACAGTCACCAACCAGTCCACGCGCGTGTGGGCAAGCGCCTTTTCACCCACACGACGCTCGTACGGTGATAGATGGCAACTGCAATTGCGCGTATGCGGCAATTAAATAAACACACATGGCAACTATATTTCGTTGGTAGATGGCAACTGCAGTTGCGCGTATGTGGCAACCAGGTAACACACATGACAACTATGATTAACCATACATGGCAACTAGATAAGCACACACGGCAACTATGGTTTGATTGCACGCCGCAACTATCATAAATTAGACATGGCAACTATAGTTAACAAAACAAAGGGAGTTGTCATGCTTTTACAACTACATTTGCCATCCCGGATGGCAACTAAAGCGACATCCCACGGGGTAACCAACGTAGCTGCGCCAGGACGTGTGGGCATTTTTGCTTCGTGCCACACGCGCGAGGTGGGATGAGCAGTACTTGTTGGGCGTGTGGCACGAAATAGTTGCGCCCACACGTGTGGGCAATTCTAATATTCGCCCGCACATAATCCGTGTGGGCTACCTCCTGCTTACACCATACACGATGTGTGAACGGATGTCTAGTATACCACACATGTGATCATTATCAGCGTCCATTTTTTCACTGGGAATTTAAAGAGCTTTATTCAGCAAGAGATATCCTAGGAAAGTCAGCTAGCAGGCTTGTGATCAGGGTGGTGCCGAGTTCAAATTTACTTTCGGTAACCATCCGTGCACAGACATATTTTGCGCATAGATGGGGCCGACAGATTGGCTGCCGTGTTTAGGAGCAGATTTTTTCTTTTGTTGAAACTATATCCGTAGGCATACGTTACTTGTATTTATAAAAGTCGGAAAACATTACACATAACCTAGAAAGCACACATACAAATACGGAAATATGAAGCACACATATAAATACGGAAATACAGGGAGGATGCAAGCCGTATAGCTGGCTCCGCCATACATCACAGAGGACCCCAAACAAAAAAAATTGCAAACCCAGCCTTAGTCTTCTCTGCTTCCGATTACTCTGCCGCTTCGCCGCGTCAAGGCCAGCCACCATCGCTGGAGGCCGGAAAAAACACGGATGAGCAGCTCACCTGGAGTTGAAGGAACCCATTGCACAATGGCGTTAGTGAGCCGCAGCAGCCACCGACTCCGAAAAGCCGGATTTGCTCCCAAATCTTCTATTGGCTGGAGGCAATGGCCATAGTGGATGTGCTCCCCGAGCGCTGCAGGCCTGGGGACGAGGCCACTCCGCCTCGTTGAAGGAAGCCAAGCCCTTCCGCCACAAGCCAGAATCATTGCCAGCCATGCATGGATTCCATCCAGCCCAAGCAGGACACCATCAGCACTGCCCCAAGCTGCACCGCCGGTTAAAGCCTGCTGCACAATACTCCTAATACTCACTCGCTCCCAAACTCCATGCAACAACATGATAGAGGCGAAGGTGTCCCGATGTTTCGATGAGATGGTGGCTATCGTTTTCTGTGGGAGTCGATCTTGACGATCCGACTACGAACGTGCGAGACGTTGCGCCTTAGCAATCGCTAAACCAACTTCCGAGGGTTATTGATCACGCCGGAGCACGATCAACCTGACCACGAGGGTTTGTTTCCTGCGAGCAAACGAAGAACAAGCAAGAAACTGAGATTGCAATCTGGATATTGCGAATATAAAATGAAAGCTTTATTGATCAAGGTGGGGTTCTGTGACGCCTTTGTCTGGTCGTTGAACACAAACGAAGTGCGCGAAGTTGCAGCTATGCCGAACTTTAATCTAAACAAACCCAAAGTCTAAATGA